ATATATATATAATTTATTACTATTATTTATATAAATAAATTTACATTTTAATTTTAAAATAAATTCAATTCAATCTTTTATTTTAAATTAAAAATAAAATATTTAAATTGTTAAATTCGAGATTGCCCTATAAATTACAAAAATGAATAGAACATAGAATAAGAGAGAGAAAATAAGACAAATATTAGTGCTCTGCGGAAGAGTAAAATGAAGAAATTGTGCTATATTTTATTCTTGAAATGATCCTCTATTTATAAGCATAAGGGTTACAAAAATCGAAGTTATATTTATGCCCCTTTTTAAGTAGGTTTTGTATAGATTATTCTAGGGATTTTATCTCTATGGGTCTAGGGTCTTGTCGTTCTCTAGCTCGATTGATTGGGGTCGAAGAGGTGAATTGATCAGTGTTACTAGTTGACCATTTGGACTAGGCCGCCGGTCAATTCTAAGGTCAGATTTCTTGTGATGGTTGACAAGGTCAATCTGGGCGGCCGGTATTTACTGGACGGATGATTTGGGCTGGTCATCAATCCTTAATTCTTCTCTATGAAATTCCTGTCGGTTGAGCATAGAAATTCCAGAGGCCAATCTATGTGTATATCATCAGGTCAGTTTGGATGAAATCTTGCTAGCATAAGTCAGTCGGTCTTCCAAGCCACCGGGTAGTTTTCAGGTGGCCCAGCCTCTCTCACGTCATTCCTTCTTGGGCTACTTGATTGCTTCAAGACCGTCTTGACATATTTTTTATGTACATATTTAATTTTCTGATTTTTCTGTTTCTTGAAAATGACAACTGTAATAAAAATAAGAAAACTCACGTCATTCCTTCTTGGGCTACTTGATTGCTTCGAGACCGTCTTGACATATTTTTTGTGTACATATTTAGTTTTCTGATTTTTCTGTTTCTTGAAAGTGACAACTATAATAAAAATAAGAAACTTTAATGTAACAAGTGAATAATACTTAAGATTACTTAATAATACAATAATTGAACTCCACTTGAACATTGTGCCCGCAATTCATGTAAATAAGGAGTGAAGGGCGTTCTTTTCTCATCTTCCTAAGATTTTATCCACTCGGTATGTTTGAAATCTGATTGCCAACATGGCGAATGAGCCATCCAAAGAGACCAAAGCCACCTATCGGAGGGTCTTTGAGGATATGAGGTGGGGAACTGACTCCCGCCCAGAGGGTGATCAAAAGAAAAAGTTGTTGGTGAAGAAGAGGAAGCTGCTCAATCCTCTCTAGAGGTTCGTGTGGGGTTTTCAAACTCACTCATCACTTGTTCTAGTGAGAAGGTACGTGCAAAGGATGATGGTCATTTGAAGGAACAGCCAGCCGACCTGTCTACTTTTGTTCAGATTGCGGGGCACCATCCAGGTTAGTAGAGCAATAAGTTGTTGGTGCTTTGGCACCACCTAGGGCATTGAAAGTAGTTGTCGGGGGAGCTATGTGAGAGACCATAAATGCCTATACGTCGTTTGGTGTGAAAGGTGTCACTGACGTTCTTCTTGCAACTGAGGGACGGAGAAAAGGTGAGGAAGGGTTCTCATTCACCACTTTGGAGTGGGAATGAATCATGTGTATGGAAGGTATTTGTTGGATGAGTCTTTTTTTTAAATTTTACTTTATATTGTCACTTGATGTGGACAAGTCGATCACTAGAGTGGTGACTAATGACTCCCCTTTGGGGAAGGTTTATGCTAATTCTGTTGTCAAGATACAAAGTGGCTGCCAAGTGCCCTCTGCTCCAAGCCGAGGCTAAGATCTGTAGTCCAAATCTTTTAGGGGAGGTTTGTGTGGAGGAAGATGGAAGGTCAAAATATTCTAGCTCGAAAGAGCACCGGTTGCATGAGATAGAAGATTTGCTCATCCAGGTAGCTAAATTTCCTCATACCAAGGAGATGCACCCACTAATTTAGCTAGTGAATGGGTTGGAAAAGTTGGAGGAAGAGGTAGCTGTCATCCGTGATTGAGAGGCTACCCTCTGTGAAGAAGTTGCAGTTCTCAGGCCGAAGCTACTAGCCGTCCGAGAGGCAACTTCAACCACCACGATGCAAGCTGAAATAAATAGCATAAATAGGTTTAGACTAAGGGTTGAACTCTCATATAAGTAGTTTCTTCAGTGAAAGTTTGTCTCAGCTGAAACAATCGTTAATAATTTTATAAAATATTTTCTTGAGTAGTTTCCAAGAGGTGAATATGAAATATTTTTATGGTGTTTGATTTGACTCCCTTTCTTCAATTTTAGGTGGTAAATGACGTTGCGTCTCTGCGACAGTTGGACTTCCTTTAGTTTTCTATAAATATGACTGAGAGTTTAGTAAATCCTCATGCAAGTGTTCTATTTTCTTAAGTTACTTCTATTGGTTTCTTCTTTTGGCTCCTTCTTTCTTCAACTCATTTTCATGCAACCAAATATTTGCAAGAGCTCTTCGACTCCATTCCTTTAGAGGAAGTGTCGATCCTGATGACGTTCTAGGTAGAAAAACTTCAAGAGTCCCATGCTTATGGGAAATTGTTGATTTTGAGGGCAGTCAAAAGTATTGATAGGGCAATTGATGCTTATGACAAGGACCTAATCTTCTTCTTGGACTAATTTTAGTGTGGTCTAAAGCTTCCTTTTTGTTGTGAACTGTGGGCTATCCTTTCTCACTACAATATCATTCTTGCACAGGTGAGGCAAACCTTAGTTGGTGCCATCATGACCCTTATTGTTTTTTCTCCAGTAGCTGACTATCATGTGACCTCTTTTCTTATTTTTTCAAACTTCGATTGTTCAAGATGGTTATTTGGTGTTCTTAGCGGGCCCCAGGCTCTGACTAGCGGGACTTTAGAATAAAGCTGAATTTTTTATTCGAATTCTGTGAAGGAAGCTGGAGATCAGAATCTCGCCCATCACAAGTGCCCCCAAGAAGATCAACACCCTTGTGGGACACTTGAGATAGTATAGTGGTATAATCTAGGGATAAGTCTTTTTGGTCGACCAATACCTTGATTCAGTCATCCTAAAAAAATTTATGAGGTCAGAGAAATTTTGGGTTATGACCGATGAGCTATGGAAGGCCTCCAATGTCCAAGAAGTTAAGCAAGGGTAAGTCTGTTGCAAAACAACTGAAAAAGTAGCCGAGCGAGTAGGCCATCTGCTTGGAGACGACTATTGCTTACTAATTGCATAAAATTATTTAAGCAGCTTGTATCGTTTTCAAGCGGCTTTAAGGATATGCTTGCACTGAGTTGGGACATAGGATTTTTTATGCTAGCATTGTATCGATTTTTAAGCGGCTTGCCAGTTAGATGTTAGTAGTTGTTGTCGGTCAAGCTTTGAAGTTTTACCAATCGAGAATGTTGCACAAATATTACATTTTAAGATAATTCTTATTGATCATACATCATGTGTCATTGTCGACTACTAAATAACTTTTTAACAATTGAACATCATGTGTTGTTGTAGGCTCTGCTACTTAGTTAACAATTCATTGAGTGATCAAGCTTTGGTTATCAGTGATGAGTTCTTTTAGCAGTCATCAATACTAAATTATATATATATATATATATATATATATATATATATTTATATATATATATAATTAGTTGAGTTATGCTTTTATTATATCTTTTACAAGGAACATGTAAAATAAGGAATGCAATTGCCTTTATTATTTTCAAAACAAAGAATAAACTTAAGGAAAAAATTTAGTAATCCTCCCTTCATGTGTGTGGGACTTCATTCCCCTTGTACATATTTAACTTGTAGACTCCTAGGGACATTCACTGGTGAACAATGAATGGTCTTGTCCAAGTTTCATTTATTTTTCTAATTGCTTATTCTCACACCACTGGGTCGACTTTCATCAGGATGAGGTCTCCAGTAGAAAACTCCTTCTTGCGAATGTGCTAGTTTTATTAGCATATGACGCATGAATGAAATTTAATGTACTTTCTTTGTGTATATCTTTTTTAATTTTAGTCCTTGGAAAAGCTGTCAAAAACTTGAACCCCGTTCCATGTTAATAATATAATTTTACGTATTTATAACAACTACTCATAGTGACGTAAGTATTAAATTTTCTAAATACTGATGTTAATTATTCACTAATATTAAAACAAAAGTGCATGAATCATTCAAGTAAGATAGGATTTTCTTTTAAAAACTTAGTATTGATCCCACAACAAAGGTTAAAACTCTTTTTATGACTTAGTAAGACTTTACTTAAAACTCTATATAGTTATCTAAGAAATAAGGTTGCAAGTTTAGGTGTAAAAAGAAGTAACTAATTCATACTAATTCAATTTCAAAACTTAAAGAAAATGCTAAGTCTCTCTAAACTAACTTTACATAGAAGAATTCAAATTATATGAAAGTCTTTACCTTTGCAATGAGATCATAATCAGTGTAGAAATCAAATTTTAAAAGGTTTAAATGTAGTATTGTGACCAATTGGAGCATACTTATTTTTTGCCCTCTTACGAGTGCATAAAGAACATTGGCTAACCAGGAGTTAAGTTTCTAAATCCTTGGTTATGCTGGGTAGGTTCTAGTCTATCACTCTAGATTACCCACTATGCCTACAATTTTTGGCCTAACCTAGCATTAGTTCCAAATTCTTGATCAAATTGGCTAAGGTTCTAGCCTATCACCCTATAATCATCATTTTATATCCATCAAAACTTA